AATAAACAAACAAATAAATAGCCAAGAAGGAAATTTTAGAGGAAATACATTGCTATAACAACTAGTGAAAAATAAGGAAAAAAATAAAATAAATGGTATGCTCTTGGCTTGATTCCCTGTTACATATAAAAACTTGCAAGATGATTAACTTGGATAACAATAAAGCCTTATGATTCTGAATGTACAACTTGACTATAGAGAGAGAAGAACTCTGGGAGCAAATGTGTGATTTCCATGCATTCCAAAAGCACCACCACCATCCAAGACCCCAAGAATGCAGAGCGTGTCAAAACCTTTACCTTTGACCGGGCGTACTGGTCTCATGATGGATTTCAAGAAGACAAAGACGGTGTCCTTATTCCATCTGACCCAGCCAGAAGATTCGCAGGCCAGGTAACTTGCTTTGTGAAATGTCAGTGGCAGCTTTTGTGTATGTGTGTGCGCGCGTGCGTGTGTGTGTGTGTGTGTGTGTGTGTGTGTAATTTTATATTCTGATGTATTGTTACACTGTAAATACATCAATACATTTTATGCCAGAGCAGAGAGGTGGCTGTGTTGGTAAAGTGCCTGCTATGTGAACCCGTGTAAAAAGCCAGGAATGCCAGCCCATTTCTGTAACCCCAGCTTGGGGGTTGGGGTGAGAGCAGAGACAAATGGAGCCCTAGAGCTCATTGGTCAGCAAGCCCAGCCAAAGCTAGGATCTGCAGTTTCATCCTCCAAAAATGAAAATGGGGAGCAACTGAGACAGGGCATCTGTCCTAGACATAGGCCTACACACATGCACACCGTGTGCATGAACATTCATGTGCCTACTTGCACATACACTTTCTATACACTAACAAGCATAAGGTACCACACACACACACACTTTTTTTTTTTTTTTTTTTGTCTTTTAGAGACAGGGTCTCCCTGTAGCCCAAGCTGGCCTGGATTCACTATGGAGAGACCAGGCTGACCTCAAATTCACAAAGATCACCTACCTCTGCCTCCCGAGTGCTGGGATTAAAGGCGAGTGCCACCATGCCTGACACACACACACATTTTTATGCCAGCATAAAATTATTCATGTGAGAATTTTATTTTAAATTTATTCCTTTTACAAAGATGAATGTGAGGTCCCAAAATGCAGCTATTGTAAATAATTTTAGACATTCAAATTTATTGATTTGCCAGTGTATCAATATGTTTAATTTTGTTTGCTTGTTTGTTTGTTTATTGAGACAGGGTCTTGCTATACTTAGCTCTGACTGACTTGGAACTCCCTATGTAGTCCAGACTGGCTTTGGATTTATGATCCTCCTGCCTCCGCCACCCAAGTGTTGGGATTATAGATGAGTGCCACCATGCCCAGCTTTTGATATAACTTTCGAAAGGAATATCAGTTAGGTCAATTATATTTTGCCGCCTTGAACTAAGCAAAATAAAAAAAAAGTTCTCAGTGTTAGAGAGAACATACTGTTTCTCCATCAAATGAGACATAACTCATGTTTATCAAGAAAGTTCTGTTTCTAGGTAGGCTGCTCCTACTGAAAATTTGCTTGGACTTTTTATTTTAAAATCATGATTGGGTGTTGAATTTTTTAAATGATTTTCAGGCATGTATTTATGTATTTTTCTGGTAATCTGATTATATAATGAATTACGTTGACTTGTATGTATTTATTTGTATGTGTTGTTGTGTGTGGTATATACACACGTGTGCCTGCCCGTCCATCACTGGGTGTCCTGCTCTGTCATTCTCTACCTCATTCCCTGGGGACAGGGTCTCTCATTAAACCTGAGCTCAGTGTTTTGGCTAAGCTGGCTGGATCCAGAGGTATGCCTGTCTCCGCCCCCAGTGCAGGAAGATGTTGTCATGCCCGGCTTTTATTTGGATGCTTGGTCCTCATGTTTGCGTAATCAAGTGCTCTTACCCACTGAGCCATCTCCCCACATCCTGCTTTTACATTTTCAATCACCAGCACCCCCTCCTCATTTTACATTTCAATCTTATATTTCTAGGAGCACCCCCCATCCTCATAGAGATATATTCTTTCTTTCCTTTTTTAGGGGGGCAAGACAGGAGCTCAAGCAGGCCTTGAGTACATGGTGTCCTGCCTCCGCCTCTCAATATTAAGATTATAAACGTGTGTCGACACATCTGGCTTTTATCATCTTTGTGTCTGCGTTTAAGAAGGATATTGTCCTTTAGTACTTTTTGTCATATTTTTGGCTGAGGCATGGTATCAGATTCATAAAATGAGATGAGAAATTCCTTTTATCATCTGCAAGATTAAAAAAAGTAATTCTCACTATTGCTCCTTCGTTAGAATTCACCAGAAGAGGTGTGGGAGCCTATGGTTTTCCCTGTCCGTTTTTCTTTTAACATTTGATTTTCTTTTTATGTATTTATTTTTAATTAATTAATTAATTTTGAGGTAGGACCTCCCTGTAGCCCCAGCTGGCCTGGAACTTGTTATGTTGACCAGGCTGGCTTCTGCCTCCTCAGTGCTAAGATTAAAGACGTGACACCACACCAGCCTATTTATTTATTTATTTATTTACTTATTTATTTATTCATATTTATATTTTTTATTTTTATTTTATGTGGATGAGTGTATCGCCTGCAAGACAGTATAAGTGTACCCGTGTTGTGCAATGCCTGTAGTGGTCAGAAGAGGGTGTTGTATTCCCTGGGAACTGGAGTTATGAATGGTTGTTAGCTGCCATGTGGGTGCTGGGAATTGAACTCAGGTCCTCTGTTAAGAGCAGCCAGTGCTCTTAACCACTGAACCATCTGTCTAGCCCCTATTTATTTATTTATTTGTTTGTTTGTTTTAAAATTATTTAATAACCACGTACTTAGAAGAAGCATTTCATTACAACAGCATGCACATATTCAATAATAATTTCTAGAGCTAAGATGCATCTCTTTCAAAATTGGCTGTAAATTTTTAGGTTTACAGTTGAATTATTACAGTTATACAATATTGTACTCAGTATAAACCCTATAAGACATAAAATTAAATGAGGTTTTAACTTTTAAAAAGATCTCCATTTCATTTTAGAATATATTGTTCATTGCAGAAAGACTCATTGTTTTTACTACTAACACTGAGATGTTGGTACATGCATCTCTAATCTGTATGTATCTGATTATTACTAGTCATAATCAGTTGCACTTGGCTCCTTGGTGCCTGTGTATGTCTATAAAATCATAGGGTAGATTTCAATGGTAATGTTTTTCACATCTACTAATTATTAAGGAGCAAATTTTTATGCTTTGATAAATTATTATTTTTAATCTTTATTTTAAAAAAATTTTAATAACTACATGATTAAAAGAAGCATTTCACTACAGCTTTAACATATTCAGTAACACACTCCAGAGCAAGAGTACATCTCTTTCACAAGTGGGTGCAAGTTTCTAGGTTCACAGTTGAATTAATACAGTTATACAATATTGAACTCAGTATAAGCCCTGTAAGACATAAAATTGAATGAGTTTTTAGCCTTTAAAAAAGATCTCCATTTCATTTTAGAATATATTGTTCATTGCAGAAAGACTCATTGTTTTTACTACTAACACTGAGATGTTGGTACATGCATCTCTAATCTGTATGTATCTGATTATTACTAGTCATAATCAGTTGCACTTGGCTCCTTGGTGCCTGTGTATGTCTATAAAATCATAGGGTAGATTTCAATGGTAATGTTTATCACCTCTACTAATTAGCATGACGTAAATTTCCATGCTTCCTCCTCAACTATAATACATTTTTTAGAATTTGTTGATTTTTGTGTGTGTGTATATCACACAAAACATCCCAAACCATCTTATTCAACTATACACCCACTTCCCAGATGGCACCCTCCCATAGCCTCCCTCCCCCCACTAGAGCCCTTATACTCTGATATCCCTGCTACTGTCTGCTGTGTTGTCAGCACCCCCAGCCATTCCCCACTATTTGTACATCTGGTGAATCTAGTCAGCCTATCTAGAGGTCTTTGTTTTAAGAGGGTCAGCTGTTCCTCATCTAGCAGCAATCAGTTGTCAATATTCCTTTAGATAAGAAGGATAAAAGGGATAATTTGATCTCTTCTTTTCCAATTATTACTCCTTTAATATCCTCCTCTTGTCTTATTGCTCTGGCAAGAGTTTCAAGCACTAAAAGAGAAGTGGAGATAGTGGACAGCCTTGTCTGGTTCCTGATTTCAGTGGGAATGCTTCCAGTTTGTCTCCATTTAGAATGATGTAGGCTGTGGGCTTGTTATATATGGCTTTAATTATGTTGAGGTATGTTCCCTCCAGTTCAATTCCCTCTAGGACTTTGAACATAAATGCACGTTGAATTTTGTCAAAGGCCTTCTCTGCATCTATTGAGATGACCATGTGGTTCTTTTCTTTGAGCCCATTTATATGATTTATGACATTTATTGACTTATGTATATTGAACCATCCCTGCATCTCTGGAATAAAGCTAACTTGATCATGGTGGATGATCTTTTCGATGTGTGTCTGTATGCGGTTTGCAAGTATCTTGTTGAGAATTTTTACATCTACGTTCATTAAAGATATGGGTCTATAGTTTTCTTTTATGCTTATATTTTTACCTGGCTTTGGTATTAGAGTGATGCTGCCTTCATAGAAGGAATTTGGAAGTTCTCCCTCCATTTCTATCTTTTTGAATAAATTAAGTAGTATTGGATGTAGATCTTCTTTAAATGTCTGGTAGAATTCTGCTGTAAATCCATCTGGTCCTGGG